TGTGGGCATATATACATTACACAGTGCTGACTTCTTTCTCAGCTTCTTCACTAGCACAATGTCCACAATCCACTGTGAATCTTGCTGTAGCCTAGTGGCACTCAACCCACAATACCATGTCGCCCAGCCTATAGAGCATCCCCAGGGTCTGGGAATTTGGCGGTGGGGAGCAGTGGTATTATTAATTGCCACTCCCCTGCTGCCAAATTTCTGGACCTGTGGAGAGCCTCATGACTGGAGAGTGCTAGATCACACAGGCACATGGGCTCACTCCATGGCTGGATGCAGTGCATGGAGTTGGGCTGGCACACTGGATCCCACCTGTGGACTGTGGGATCTGGCCCACCGACTGACTCTATGGCACTCGTGTGGCTTGCGGGTTCTGGTAGGTTGGGCAGCACTGCTATAACCCAATGAGTTCTTTCTTCTGCATGTTGCCCCAGGACATAAAATTGATCCTGCCCTAAGGGGATTCTCAGAAGGAGGCAGGAAGCACAAAGCAAGCCCTTCTTCATCCGCATGTTTGACTATGCCCTCTGGCACCTACAGTTATTTGCATTGGCCTCTCAAAAGCAGGGAAGCAGCCTGGCATGTGCTCAGCTGAGAGGCATGTAGACATTTGCCTCATTCTGGTATTTCTGGGCCCCGATGTGAATTTGTGGGTGGAGCAAGGAAACAAAATCCTCTCTATAGCTTGAATCTAACTGGTTGGGTAAGTCTCTGCACTCCCTCCTGCTCCTGTCTATTTAGGTTGCAGGAGGCAGCTGCTGACAGTAGTTTGTGCTGAGCCTCAACAAGTGTAGAGAGAGGGCAGCATCAGCCTCAGGGAAAGATGAACACAACCTGGTACCCTGTTGATGTGAAAGCTGTTGGCTTGATGAAGGACAGAAAGCAGAAGGTACTTTGATCTGAGTCTCCTTCTACTAAATATATTTACAAACTAGGAACCTTAGGGACCTTTTGAATTACTATGACAGGACCAGGTTAATTCCCCAGGGCAATGTTGGGATCAGTCATTATGTAAGATGGTGCTCTTAATTATATTTTTTATGTGTTTGGTTTTTTTTGGTGAACCATATCTTAGTAAAACAGCTGTTTCTTGGATTGTCTTGCTATTCCACTTGTACCCGTAAATTCCACCCAAAAACTACAGCAGTTGCTTACATAGACTAGCAAAGTATTTCATTCGTGTTTTGCTGTTTTGAGTCATGTGGAGGCTGGAAACCATTGACTGGCCAGCTCTATGTAGAACCCTACCAAGTTTCTGTGCACCCCAGTTTGGAAGCCTTTAATTTTTACAGTCATGATTAACGCACACTGTATTCCCCTTTTTGTTCCTTTTCCAGACCTACATGATGTCTGTGCTCTGGCCAGATCGAAACAACGTTCTTATCTACCGGACTTTTGAAGAGTTTAAGAAATTCCACGTAAGTTGACAACCACCTGGAGATAATTTTTGTGTTTTTATCTTTGTTTTTTTCCTGCTTTTACTGGGATTCGGGAGCATCATCACTTATTTTCTCACCCTTTTCTTTTCTCAGAAAGAACTGAAAAGAAAGTTCCCCATAGAAGCTGGTTTACTAAAGAAATCGGACCGAACCATTCCCAAGTTTAAAGGTGAGAGGGTTTAAATAATTTCAGTTGATGGACAGACTTGAGGGAGTGCAAAAAACAGAACAAAACTGCAAACATGATCACAGCAGTCGGAGCAGATTATAGATGAGGGAAGATAAGAGTTCAGTCAAGTCAGTTAGTAAATAAAACATCTTTTTAAATGTATTAGTTAATGAAGCTTCCAGTCCATATGGATCTGAGTCCTCCTGCAACATTTTGACGTGTACAGAGGCCAAGCTAACATTTAGCACAGAATAGTACAGATCCCAAAGTGCAAGCCCATTTCAAATGGTAAGAAGAATTACTGTTGTGTTTATAGCCACTGATCTTGATCCTTTATGTGTAGCATCCTACTGGAATGGAAATTAAGAGGCAGTGCTGCCATTAGTTGGCAGAAGGTACTGCGTACAAGACAGCAGCATGTTAGGTTCCCCTTTGCTGATGGTGATTTTGCTTCTGTTGTTTCAAAGATGCCCCTCGGATGCAGAGAAAGAGTGGGAAGCTGAGGAGGTCTCTGGAAAGGCTGAAACTTCTGGAGTTTTACTCCCAGGAGCTGATGAAGCTGGATACAAAAATCTCCCAGAGTGAATATGTGACCCAGTTTTTCAAGGCACAAACCCGAGACCTAGATCCCTTATTTCCAGAAAACAGGTACCAAGTATCATCATTTGTATTATAGTAACTATATTTCCCCTACTCTGTAATGTTTGTGCTTTAAAAACAAGGAGAAGAAGGAAAATAATTTCAGTTAAAAATGGGTGGACGGCAGAGTTGTTTTTTTCCTGGAAATCACTTTAATTTCTTGAATTAATTAGAAATGTTCAAGGTGTGAAAATGAAAGTCAGCTTTCTGTAAGCTGCATCCCAGCTCCCTTTTTCCAAATCTCTCACTTGCGTTTTCAGGACATAGAACTTCAGGTTTTCCTACTTTTACCACTTTCATTGGTATGTTTGGGCAGCAGAGGAGGAATTAAAAATCAGCCAGGATTTTACATAGGAATATGTGCTCTTTTTATCCCAGCCTGAGAGTTTTTGCATAAGCAGCTGCTCTGAAAATCTAAGGAATCCCCTTATTTAGGAGCAATAGGTTTCAGCTTGCTAGAAGCAAAATCATGATGGATATATGCAAAATGAAACAGTTTTTACTTGAGACCAAAGCAAGCTCAGCAGCTCTGAGACCTGCTGGGATTTGATGTGTGGCTTATTACAGAATACATGGAGCACGATAACTGCACATTTGCATATGGATAAAAGATTGTATACTACCCAATAACCTGTGTGTCACTTCTGACATGGAATTCAGAAAGGATATTATAAACTATGTGAAGTGGCAATGCAAGTATTTGGCTAAGAATGCAGGCTAGTGAAAAGAACAGATATCAGAGCTGGGAACTTCTGAGGTTTATTTCTGAGTATGTAATTGCCTTTCTGGATGATTTGACCTCTGTCTTACAACAATCTGTGCCCCGTATCTAGTCTGTTTCATGGCTATAAGATCTAACTTGAAATGGGCACTACAATTTGGAAAATATTTCTGAGAGCTTTGGGATCCTATGCACTTGGTCTTCTTCACAGGGGTGCTTTTCCCCAAAAGGACAAGCTTGAAATAAATCATAAAGCCAGCCTCCTCCATGGCTTTGTAACAGACAAGTATTGCACTTCTCTTTTCAGCATTATAATCATGCCATCAGAATTTGGGGATGAGAAGAAAAAACAGCTTACAAAACCAAGTCCCTCTATTACGTACCCCATGGCTTCCCAGACCTACAGATGCATCGAAACCTATGAAACTAAAGACACAAAGAACAGACCTTTCAAAGTTGCTAAGGGGGAGATCGTTGAAGTCTTAATCAAGGACATGATAGGTATGTTTCATTTAGACTGTTCATTATCTGCTTCAGAGGGGAAAAGTTTTAGCCTTTTCACTCCTTTGCAAATGTGTTTGTAGCATGATGAATATATTTGTTTATTCATGTACTCCAGAATATAACTTATATCATGAAGGATTACAACTATTTTATTAGGAAGAAAAGAGGAAGGAAAGTAGGGTTTTTCAGTTGAGTGAGGAGTTTGAGGGCCAGCACTCCTGGGTCTTATTCCAAGCTTGGGAGTGATGATGGTCTAACAGGAGAGGGACAAGGAGTAGAAGCTCTAGGGTTCTGTGTTCAGCTGTGCCACAGATTCATTGTGTAACATTGGGCAATTCACTTAATCACTTATATGGCATGTATTTTCTATATAAAGCATAATGGAAAGTGTCAGGCAGCATTTACTCAGAGGTTCCTGCCATCTCCCTTCTGGCACTTTCACACCTCTTTTGAGAGTTGTGAAGCTTAAATAACAGATCTCTGAAAATCACCCTTTGAGCAGTGTTCCAGGGTCTCACTAAAAGCATGTATTTGTATGCTCCTGCTTGCAGGGTGGTGGCTGGTAGAGAATGAGGACAAGCAAATAGCCTGGTTTCCAGCTCCATACCTGGACGAGAAAGCATTTGGAGAGAAAGCTCCAAATTTCAGGGAGTCAGATGAAGAGGGTAAGCCCACTTCTTCCTTGCTGTGGCCCAGGCCTTTCAATCCTTGTTGTCAGCTCAGGGGTGCATTCTGTTAGTGTTATCCTTCTCTGCTAAAATGAGTCTGGCGAGTTGCAGAACAAAGGGCAAACACCTGTCCGAGAGGAAGTGTGGGTTGGTGGTTATCGTTCACAGCTTGGGCTATGGAGAACTGAGTTCTGTTCCAAGTTCTGCTGCTGTGAACAGGTCACTTAAACAGATTCAGACATGGAAGTATTATCTCCAAATTGACTGTAAGTGTTTGCTGTTAACTAGAATGTCCCCAGGAGGACTGTTTTTTCCCCATTAGTTTCCTTCATGCTGTTAATGGCACTTTGTAGATAGGCAGGATCCCTGCTGGCCCTGTCAGCCCATCAGTTATTTTTCCCTGCCAGGCAGTTGGAAGTGGCCCTCAAAGACAGGAGCAGACCTTGGAACTACAGGCCTGTCTTTGTTAGGGGGCTCGGGAGATGCAGTAAACAGCAGCAGAAGGGAGTTTTCTGCTGACTTTGCTCTCCTCCCTTCTTGAACTGCAGAAGCAAAGTCAGCAGGAGCCCATTTTTTTGCCAGCAGAGAAGAAGGTTTGTGGACATGGCTATGCCAGTGTAGGTGGGGTGGGGGCTGAGTTCTTTACATCCCTAGCCAACAAAGCTGTGCTTGCAAAACTGTAGCCTAAACCAAGCCTATACTTTTCTCCTTTAAAGCCTATGAGGTCTTCAGTCATTGTGGACTCTTTCAACCTTTGTGTCACCTGTATGATAGTTGTAGGGTGCACCCTAAGCCTTGCCAGGTGAGTTAAGTCCTCCCATTGCTGGGCAGCCTAGACCAGTGGGTTAGTCTGGGGTTGCAATTCAGTGACCCCATACACTGGCTTGGCCTCACATGCCAGAGAAATCTGGTGCATGGGACATTGTCATCCAACCTGCAGGGCTCCCCAGGGGTATGGAAGTTGGTGGGGAATTGGTGGCAGTATTGATCACCACAGCTTCCAGAGCCACTTCCAGAGCTGCAGCAGTTAATGTTGCTCTCCTGCCACCATATTTCTGGACCTGTGGGGGAGTCCAGCGTGCTAGATGGCATAGCCCGGCAGTTTGGAATTGGCCCATGGGCTGGATATTGAGCACCACTAGCTTAGACCATTGTTCTAGCCTCTCTTGTTCCCATACTCTACCCCATCTCCTTATCTTCTTTGTCTGCAAAGTGGAAATGATTCCTCCCTCCTTCCCACAGGGTCCACGTATTATACTGTGCGGGCATACAAGTCTCAGGAAGCAGATGAGCTCTCAGTGAATGCTGGGGTCATTGTGGAGGTGCTGGAGAAATCAGACAATGGCTGGTGGCTTATCTGGTAAGGAGGTCCTCTTTTTCCCACCACCCCAAACCTTCTCAGTCTGTGTGGTGTGAGAGTGCCAGTTGACAGCAGGTACTGCTCATCTACTCTGGGTCCCAGGAAATGGACAGTGGGGAGCTGTCATCCTGTTGCAGTACCCCAGACTGAGTAGATAACAGTCTCAACTGCAGAAGGACCTTCCCCTTCCCCCATGTTCTATGTACAGTTATGGGCTCAAATTCCTCATCAGGTTCCAGGATCTGGACCCTGGTCTGAGAAACTGCCCATGCAGCACCCCTGGTGCAGTACTGACTTGGAGAGAAAGCACCACCGACTGGGTGAATTTCCAGAGTGAAATTCCCCATTCCCTCACAGCAGCTGAATGAGGAGACTACCTGTAGGCTGGGGGTTGCAGCCCTAGACCCTCTCCATTTTATACATGGGGAGGCTTGGCTAGAAAATGTATATGGGCATGGATCCATTGACACCAAGGGCCTCTCTGCACTTGCCTGCTCTAGCCGTTCAGCAGCTTGTGGGGTCCCTCTCCCATGTTTGATTTGGGGAGACTGTTCCATGCCACCCATAGTTCCAGTTAGCATCACTTTGGGTCTGTCTTGGCCTCAATGTCACCAGCTCCCAGGTCCCTTCACACCTTCCCTCAGCATTACATAGCAACATCAAGTTCTGTCCCCAAGTACCACATCTGGCATTTGAAGCTGGCACTTAGTAGCCACTGGCAGCATTTCCTACAGATGTGAGTGCTTCCAGGGGCATTGATCCCCTCCCAGGTGAGGTCCAAGCTGACAAAAAGCTGCCTTTACCCCTCATTGTTGTTTCCGCACCCCTCTCCCTCAGGTACAACGGGAACACTGGCTACATCCCATGCATGCTCCTCCAGCCCTATAAGAACCCTCACAGCAAGTTCCAAATGATTGTGAATGCTGGCCTCAACGCCTCCACACCCAACCTGTACTTGCCTGCCAGCCCATCCTCAGGGAGCTGTCTCCTGCAGGCCAACCCACAGTGGGGGGGCCTGCCCCAGAGCTGCATGGGGGGTGAGAGGGCTGACAAAGGCAGGGGTTCCTTGAGTAGAAATAGATCAAAATCCTTGCCTGGGCTGGACACTGCAGCCAGTTCCAGCACGCTTCTGGAGCCAGACAGCTCTTCTGTCAGCTCTGGGAGCGGGAGCGAACAGGAGGTCAGCCAGAAGCCTGGCTCCCCAAGCTCTTCATCTGGTGTCAGGCAAGGCAGCAGTGATCCTCGCCTCACCTGCAGGGACAATAACAGTTCAGACTTGGAGGAGGCATCTTCAGGCAGCTCCACACATTCCCCTTGCTGCCCAGACCCTGCTGCCAGCATTCCCAACGTGCCCATGCGGCCCACCACCCACGAGATCCTCCAGAAATGCAGCACCGTGACACGAAGAGCCATGCAGCGGTCTGCCCACAGACCCAGTCTGCTGGCCACACCTCACATCCACCCCTGAGGGGGAAGGGGGCAATGCAAGCCTCAGACGAAATCTTCTTGTCGTTCTGCGCCTATGGGAAGTAGGTCGAGGGTCTGAAATTTCCCAACTAGCCATTGCTCAGCTATCAATTCTGTACTGCAGCTGAAATAAGTGAGAAATGGTTGGTGCTCAGGCCTGTCACGTGCTGAGAGACGAAGGAGTTGGCATTTAATTTCTTTCTGGAAGATAACTCTTCCATGGCTACTCAGCTGGCTGGCCTGCATTGTTGCACTAATCTTGCCTTTCACTCAGGAGGAAGGGGCTGCTGGAATGTGGTCTAGGTCCGTCGTTCTGACCTGCAGTGCCTCTGACACTGAGATTCACACTGTGTTGGTGCACTTGGATTGGATCCTTCATGCCCAACCCTTCCATGATCAGAAATAGTGTCTGTAGGCAGGGACATGCAATTGCCTGATGTCATTTCTGCTTCCCTGAGTCGGGTAGCTAACTCTTGGAATCAGGTTTCTGTTTTCTGGTAGGAATTCTCACATGAATGAGCTGAGTATTAACTGTCACTGAAGAGTCTCTAATAGTGGCTTGCTTTGCTCTCTGCACTGCAGTTCCTGCCCACAAATGCATGTCCTAAAATATTCTTGAGAAAAATCCATCTCTGACTCAAGCAAAGACTTTTTTTTGCAGATAGCTACTCACCTGTCATTGGAATTAGTTTTTCATACATCTTTTTTTTTATTTTTGATGCTTAAACATGCTTGTGATCACCATGAATTATGTTTTGTCCATCTTACAAGGAGTTGATATTGTTCTAAATTATATATGCCACATATATATATTTATGTCTGGATTAAGCACAAGTGAAAGAAAATATATTTAACAAAAAATCTGAGCCAGTGACCAGTTTTTTATTTCAAAGGGTTATTAGCTTGGGGGTTCAAATCTTGCAGCAACCCCAGGCTGTTATGTTTCTAGAGTGATGGTGGCATATCTTTGGTTGTGTTAATAGAGCTAGGCAATAACTACCATTGGAGGATCCAGCCTTTGTATTGTACAGACAGAATGTGAAGGAATGAAGCACTGGATGATCTGCGTGGAACTGGATATGAAAAGCAACAGGTAGAAGGCCATGATGGTTGCAAAGTGATGCACTGAAAAGCTAGGAAATGCCAGAATTAGGGTAGCCTATGCAAGGAAAGTTTGACAGGCTGATGCAGCCTCTTGCTAGCAAATGCAGACTCCAGGAGAGCAATGCAGTCCTGAAGCTCCACATCTCTAACAGCCCTGCTTTCCTAACCACTCACTTCCTACCTGATTAGGGCTACAATAGTGTAATTGGCTTGTGGCTACTCTGGGTTAGTTTTCAGCTTCCTTAGGATTTGCCTCCTTTCCAGATAAAAGAGCAGACACTTTTCCTTTATTTTCAGACCTCTAACCCTTGTTATCTGCTCTTCATTCACTGGCCCCCTGTTGAATCACTTACCACAAAATATATCAGCATAAACACACCCTTCAAGTGCATTGTTCATTCTGTAGCTGCCCCTTTGAAGATTAAGGCTGAACTAAAGAGTTTATTACAGGGATTAGTCGTATTAGTTTGCTGATCCTGCTCATGTCAAGAGCTAATTCTTCACAGCAACTCAGGGAGCTGCAGCCTCCTTCCTAAACAGAGGGGGATGTGGATGAACACGCATGTCTGTATATGGGTAGAAATGAAAGCCATTTCCTTTTACATACACACAATCTTATTTGCTCACATGTTGTTCCAGCTATCCTTTCCACATCGCTATCAGTTCTGCCTCTGTACTCCTGCCTTCTCTGCTCCAAAGGGCAGAAGGATATTTAGTGCCTGAAACCTTCTCTAACATCTCTCAGCTGTACAGTTGGTCCAGTTGAAGGTATCACCAATAAAACCTTGCTGCTTGCATATTTTCTGGGCTATCCCAGCCACAACACTCCATCCCTCTGCCCAGGCAGAGGGCAGCAAGCTGTAGGGCAGCAAGCTGTACTTAGAAGAAAAGGACCCTTTTTGTACCAGGACTGGAGTTGTAAATCACTCTTGCAGATTATACCTTGTGTGGATTTTAGGTACCCCCAATAAGTGCTTGAGCAATCCCCAAGAGTCAGAAGAGAGGAAATGACTTTTCATTTCAACATGGGTCTCATGCACAGTCCAGCTGTCACTGCAGTTACTTAAGGGAGCTAAAGGGACTGTCTCCAGTGGTGGTGTGTGTGGCAGGAGGCTTGGTGCTGAGGCAGCCTGCAGATGCAGCCAGGGTTGATTATGGAGTCATCTGACTGTGGAAGAAGGCTGGGCTTGGGTAGGATACAAGCCCAGGCCTGAGTGGAGCCAGCAGTAACAGCTTGGAGCCCACTGAGAGATCAGCATCTCAGCAGGGATGGCTGCAGCTCCAGAAGGTAACATGGAGGGTAACACCTAAGGCAGTCTTGGAGAAACTAAAGGGAGGAGGAAGTTCCTAGGGACTCAGGGAGGGGTCTGGAGCCCAGACTGAGAGCGTGGGACCAGTGGGGGTCTGGGAGCCTAGCAGGAGTGTGGGAGCAGGGAGGGTCCAGGAGCCCCAGAGGAGGGGCTAAATGGAAGGGAACATCAATGAGGATGCCACTTGTGAAGCATGGTGGAATGGAGCCATGCAATTAGCCCATAAGGTAGTGACCACAGGCAGCTGGTTGTTATTTGAGAGATCAATTTAGGAAGCTCTGGGGCAGCCTCCCTCATATAAAGACATCAAGGCATGCTAGGTAACTGAAGGGGTGATTGCCCATAAAGTGAGGGCTGAAGGGGCTCCAGGGCCTTCATGGCCACACCTGGAATAGCATCCTGTCAGTTTGCTCCTGGGAACTGCTGTAGGTAGTCTCCTACAGGGAGGCTGCCATGCAGCTTTTTCAGCTTTAGGATCTTGAACTAGTTTCCCTAAAGCAGGAACCATATTGTTGCTGAGTTTATATACATTACCTTACACAGCTTTTAAACATGCAAAATCTATTAGCGAGCAGCAAGCAACAGTCCAGCTCCATCCTTTTTGCAACCCCCCTGCAGGCAGCTGAAGGCTGCTATTTTTCAGTCTTCTCTTTGGCAGACTAAAACACCCCAGTTCCCTCAGCCTCTCCTCACAAGTCATGTCCCCCAGCCCCCCAACTATTTTTGTTCCCTCTGCTGGACTCTCTTCAACTTGTCCACATCCTTTCTGTAGTGGAGGGCCCAAAATTGGGCACAGGACTTCAGATTTGTCCTCCCCAGTGCTGAATAGAGGGGAACAATCACTTCCTTCAATCTGCTGGCAATACTCCTAATTAATGCTTACCAACTACTCACTATAATCTTTCCAGCATGTGCATAAGGTCCAAGGTAGGTGGGCTCGGGGAGTTCTACCAGCAGGACCACTTACTGTAAGAGTGTCTCTATGAGGACATTCGTGCTATTTGCGATTTCTCTCAAGCTCATGCACCAACCCTTCAAGATTCAAGGTTTGAAGAGTGAGACGAAGGCGATTCTTGGCCAGGAAGACCATCTCCTCCTTATGCAGGGCCTTGGGAGGCAACAAGGAATTGCTGGACTCACTAATTTAAAAAAACTCACACTTAAAAAATTTATTATAAAAATAGCATAGCTGCAGGGCTGGATGAGAGAGCCAGGCACTGGTAGTACCAGTCACTGCAAGTCCCTGGCTCTTGGTCATAGTCCTCAGTTGACTGCAAGTGGCACGTGAATGGTCACAAACCTTCCTTGTCCCACTTGGAAGTATCAGACAGCCTCATGTTTTGCCACATGAAATCAATGAACATGGATGCTTGCAGTAACCGGCCCAGTCTCTGGAAATGACGTTCTGCAAAAAAAGAAAAGAAATGTTTCTGCTAAACTGCTATGGAGGCCTGTGTGCGCCAAGAAAACTGGGGGGAGGGGGGAATGCCCATCTCTGTCCCGACTGTGGTGAATGGAGGGGGCAGAGAACACGGAGCATGTGTCACCTTTACAGACACCAAGAAATGTCTTCAAAGGGCACCACAGGCCAGTGGAGAAACTCCTAGCTATACCTCATGCTGTAGCAAGCTGTTGGCTACAACATCTGGGTCTGACATGCAGCTCAGAGCACAGGAGTTGGGCTGTGGGCAAGATCAGGTGCAGTGCAGTAGTACTAGAGGTGTTGCTGTAGGAGCCCCCGTGTGATACAGCAGCACAAACAGTGGGACTGAATTGGGGTGCAGCCTCCTTTGTAACTCACCGGTGTAGGGCAGAAGTGATTCCACAGCAGATTTAATGCCATCGTACTGGAGGAGGCACTCAGGGGCTTCATGCTTTAGGAGGATGCCAAGGACAGCCTGAGCCTCGTGGCAGTTGCGAGAGTTTGTGTTCCATGTTACTGAGAACTTCAGCACAGCCTCTAGGAGGGAAAGCAGGAAATACATGGGTTACTCAGGTCTGACTGATTTATGCACAAGACAGCATCACACCATGGGAGAGACCAGGCCAGGCCTATCCAGCTTCCTCCAGATTGAGCAGCAAACCTGCAGGGAAACCGTAACAGCACACAAGCCCCTCATTAGGCTGACCGTGACCCCAGCAGGTCATAAACAACTGACCAGCAATGTAAAAGAGGGGCCTCTCTCAGCAGGAATGGCAATAGCCGTGTGTGACCAGAGTTCTGTATTCCTGCCTTTGTCATCAATCCACCTCAGGCAACTTATTTAATCTCTCCTATGCCTCAATGTCCCCATTCTATAAATGGGGAAAATAAAACTTAGCTGCCTCCCAAAGGGGGTTGGAGGACTTTGAGAACTTCCAACAGAAGATGCTATAAAAACGCAAAATAACACTGTGTGAAGGTTGTGAGCCTCAAATCAGTTCATAGCAGGCTCAGGTCTACATCACGACCAGCTTCTTTCCAAATGGATAAGCCCTGCCTGGTTGGGGGTAAAGCCATGGCAAACAGAGGAAGAATCTGTTCCCTCTAATTTAAGACTTATTACTCATTTGAACCAACACTCAACCAACCTTTCTGATCCTTCCGCAGTCTGAGGATATTCTTTTCCAAGTTCTCTCTTCCATCGGTCTCCTTTAGGATGGCTAAAAGGAGGGGAAGAGCAAAAAGGCAAGGAATCAGGTTAATATACGTATTTTAAAAGTTGAAAAAAAAAACAGCTCAGAGTTTGCAAGTAGGCAGTATCCAAGGATTTGGGACTGTAAGGTGTGCTCTGGTGAAAACAGGTGTGCTTTGCTTTTACAACTGTGTACACAACCACAGGCCTAACTGCACAACTTCTGTAAGTAACCTTGTGGCAGCTGTGTACCTAGCTCCTCCAAATCCAGATTCTAGAAATTATGGGTAAGAAATCAATCAAGGATGAGTCACCGACTTCTGGTAAAGAAAAGGCATCTTTAACCAACATACTTCTTTGTTTTATTTCTAAATATTTTTTTTCTCGTCTTGCTTTTCCAGACGACTGTCACTCATGAGCTTGAACAATAGGTTCTGCAAAAAAAGTCTCCCTCTTATGATCAGGAGAGCCCGATTCTCCATTGGGTCACGATTACATGTGGAAGGCAGCTCTAGCCTCTGCCAAACCACTGCATCTACAAACCTGATATCTAGCCTCATGGGAACAGAAGCTGGCAGCCTGACACCTAGAAGTGCAAATTACTGCTTGCACTGCAACTGTCAGGAGCATATTTGAAACTCAGAGGCTGCAAAGTAACAATTCACCTTGATAGAAAGT